TTACAAAAGCAGCACCACCATAAGTAGCACCACCATCAGAGCGCCACTCACTTCCTGTTCACATTCTGCTCCTCGTTGATCGCCCATTGGTTGCTCTGCCTGGCGGGAATCATCAACGTGTCCGGCCCAGCCCCTCATACCATCAACACACAGTCGCACCACCACAAGCACCACCACAAGCACCACCACAAGCACCACCACAAGCACCACCACAAGCACCACCACAAGCACCACCACAAGCACCACCACAAGCACCACCACAAGCACCACCACAAGTACCACCACAAGTACCACAACAAGTACCACCACAAGTACCACCACAAGTACCACCACAAGTACCACCACAAGTACCACCACAAGCATCACCACAAGTACCACCACAAGGACCACCACAAGCACCACCACAAGTACCACCACAAGGACCACAACAAGTACCAGCACAAGTACCAGCACAAGTACCACCCACTCACTTCCAGTTGACATCCTGTTCCTCGTTGATCGCCCACTGGTTGCTCTGCCTTGCCGGGATCCTCAGAGTCACCGGCCCTCCGCACCCGTTGCTGTCGCGCACTTGCACCGTGATGTTGGACGGGAAGAACGCCTGGTTATTACTCGGTAACCCTACGTTGACCTCGTAGGTAGCGTTCGCCAGCAGGGGGACGACGAAGATCCGCTGCCCCGCCGCCCACATGTTGCCGACCGAGCGCAGATTGCCGTCCACAGTGATGACTGCATCGTCCTCAATGCGACGGATGGAGAGGTAGCTGGAATGGGGAAAAGGGGGTAGCAGGGAGAGGATAACAGATAGAGGCTAGGTAGTGGATCGAGAGGAGTGAGCTACCAGAGGCACCAGGAGCAACGTGCTGTCCTCCCAACCCATGTTGCTGATCAAGCGCAGATTGCCATCCACTGTGAGGACTGCGTCATCCTCAATGCGACGGATGGAGAGGTAGCTGAGGTGGGGGGAGGGGGGAAGGAACAGATAGAGGATTTCACAACGGCACCACAAACCCATGCCGTGCTCCCAACCACATGTTAGCCACTGAGCACCGATTGCCGACCACTGTAATGACCACGATGAGCATGCCGTCCTCAACACGACGGGTGGAGAGGTAGCTGGGGTGGGGGGAGTGGTTAGCAGAAGGGTAGTAGATAGAGGGGTTTTTAGCGCATTGCTCCCTGACCGGGGCTACTGGCTTTTTGTTAAACCCTAAACTGTGTAGGCTTCAATACGGCGGATAGGGATGGAATGAAAACTGGAGGGAATACGAGGAGGACAGCACGTGCCTGGACAGGCATGCACGTCCATTCCCCATTCCCCATTCCCCATTCCCCATTCCCCATTCCCATTCCCCATTCCCCATTCCCCATTCCCCATTCCCCATTCCCCATTCCCCATTCCCCATTCCCCATTCCCCATTCCCCATCCCTCATTCCCCATTCCTCATTCCTCACTTCCCTCACCTGAAGTCCCCTCGTTTGCGTGTGTCGGGCACGCTGCTGTTCTCATACACCGAAAATCCCGGTTCCAAGTAAGTGAACATCACAGTGCGGTAGCACGTGCCGGGACACGCGTACGCGTTCCAAGCCGGCACGGGGCGGCACGCAGGGAAGCGCTTGGTAGGGGGCAGCAGGGCGGAGTTGTTGGCCACTAGGTAGCCGCCCAACGAGGCGTTGAGGAACGAGCCGTCCCGGTCCCACAGAGTGTACAGGTCTGTGGCCTCGCTGCCCCCGTTCACATCGCCGCCCTGAGGGGGGAATACAGAACAGAGGATGGGGGCGGGTAGGTAGGAGTAGAGAAAAGCGCAACAGAAGGGGCCGGGTTGTTGGCTAGAACGTTGCCTTTGGAGGTTGAGCTGAGGGGATTCTGATGGGTAGAGCATGGGAGGGGGTTGGGCAGGCTGTAGCATGGTTGGGGGTTGGGCAGGCTGTAGCATGAGAGGGGGTTGGCCAGGCTGTAGCATGAGAGGGGGTGAGGGCAGGTTGTGGCAGGTCAGAAAGAAGCAAGTAGGGAGGTTGGCTGATGAGAGAACATGGAGGGATTGGGGCAACAATTAGCTGGGAACTGGGACGAGTAGGTGATTTTCGAGATTTTTCACAAGTTGTAGGTGATTTTTGAGAATTCTAAAAAATCACCTAGAATGCTGGGAACTGGCATGGCGGTAGGTGAAGATGAAGTGAACAGGGAAGTGGCATGGAGGTAGGTACTAGGTAGCTAGCACTACTCACTGGGAAGGTGAAGTTGCGGGGAGGGAAGAAGAGCAGGTTGGTAGAGTCCGTGCCTTGCACCGCCTGCAAGGATCCTCACAACACAGACAGGGTTGAAGACAGGGTTGAAGGCAGGGTTGAAGGCAGGGTTGAAGGCAGGGTTGAAGGCAGGGTTGAAGGCAGGGTTGAAGGCAGGGTTGAAGGCAGGGTTGAAGGCAGGGTTGAAGGCAGGGTTGAAGGCAGGGTTGAAGGCAGGGTTGAAGGCAGGGTTGAAGGCAGGTTGAAGGCAGAGTTGAAGGCAGGGTTGAAGGCAGGGTTGAAGGCAGAGTTGAAGGCAGGGTTGAAGACAGGTTGGAGACAGGGTTGAAGACAGGTTGGAGACAGGGTTGAAGACAGGGTTGGGGGCAAGGGATGCTTGGAATGCCGTGATGAGCGAGTCACCTATGAGGCCTCGGTCGAATCCTCAGAAGCCAGCCATAGCCAGGGAGATTGAAACCAGCATAACCAAACCCCACCGCACTCCACCAGTGGCAGTAACCAGCACACGGCAGGGAAGGCAGCCTCTCACTGCCACATGGGTGGTGGAGTGGAGACCCATGTGCCCATGGGCGCCCCTTGATGCCTGCTCCCATGGCAGCAACCAGGCTTGAGGCACATGCATGCTACGGCCATCACCACCACATGGTAACCACCTCACCGCTACGCTGATGGCGGTGGCCCATGTGTCGTTGGGAGCATCGTTGAGGCCCGCTCCAATGGCAGCAGGTGGACGGTGCAGGGCGCCATGTCATGTCAGCAATCAGGCATGCGGCACATGAGTGCCATGCCAAGGCCCCTACCAGCATTCTAGTGGCGGCAGCTGGCACATGGTAAGCGGCCTCACCGCTATGCTGGTGGCGGTGGCCCATGTGTCCTTGGAGCTCCATTGATGCCCGTGCCAATGGCAGCAGCTGGGCGGCACGTGCTGTCAAAGGCGTGGAAGCTGCACGGTGGGCGGGAGACGGGAGACGGGTGGGTGGGGTTGAGACTGTGCGAGCATGGGAGAGAGTAGGGGGTGGGGATGAGATGGTGCGAGGGAGACGAGAGTCAGTGGAGGGGAGGAGGCGGGTTGTTGGGGTTGAGAGCGGAACTGACAGGAGAATGAAGGGAGGGATGGAAATGTTTGAACGAGTGTGATGCTACAATACAATGCTACAGTGCAACGCTTCAGTGCAATGCTACAGTGCAATGCCTCATTGATGATATGAAGATGCCATGCAATCATCAGAGCATGGTGACAGCATGTGTGCGGTGGAAGACTGGACATGGTGTTATGTAGGCACGGTGGGCATGGGTGGATGAAAGGCGTGGGCTAGAATGCCACCCACCGGCAGTTGGAGATGGCATGAGCGCGGGAGAAGTCGAATCCAAAGGTGGGTTGGTCGATGATGATGCCAAAGAGAGGGTTCTTCCAGTGGCTCCACCCCTGCGACCGGCCCTGCTGCCCTGGGGCTAGAGGGAACCTGCCTCACAGGAAGACAGACGCACACACATGAGCAGAATTTTAAGGCGAGCTGGTCAATCACCTGTTGAGAATGCCAACAAAAACGACTGAAGGTGAGTGATGCTGGTCAATGACGCTGTTGCAGAGAGGGTTCTCCCAACGGCTTCACCCCTGCGACCGGCCCTGATGGCCTGGCGCCAGGGGAACCTGCATTACAGAAACACACGAACACACATGTGCGTGCGCCCATGCATGCCAATCAATGAAGAGTACGCACGTCTGCAGCATGTAGTCACAGTTGCGCGGGTTGCAATAGTTGGGGGGAACGCCCCACAAGGCGGCTCTCAGTCACTCTCACCCTCCTCACTTGTCTCAATCCAATTGCACCCTGGCACTCACTCACTTGCATCCCATCACACGGACACACATCCGGGGCGAGGAGACACACATGCCCCCTGCCAAAACACACTCCATTGATTATCTCACCCCTGTCAACCCCTGTCAACCCCTGTCAACCCCTGTCAACCCCTGTCAACCTCTGCCAACCTCCATCATGCCCCCTTCCCCTGGTACTCACTCGCAGCCCGTCACGTGCCCACACATCTGCGGCGTGGAGTCACAGTTGCGCAGGTTGCCGTAGTTGGGCGACAGCCCCATGAAGCGGCTGTCAGTCACTCAAAGCCTCGACCTTCATCCCCTCTGCACCTGCACCCCCTCTGCGCCTTTAAGCCCTCCCCCAATACTCACTCGCATCCCGTCACAGGGCCACACATCTGCGGAGTGGAGTCACAGTTGCGCGGGTTGCCATAGTTGGGCGACAGCCCCACAAAGCGGCTGTCAGTCACGCGCACGCCCGTGTTCCCCAGCAGGTTGAGCCCCTGGCGGTTGTCAGCGAAGGTGCTGTTGGTGATGATGATGCCGTCAGAGTTGTGCATGAAGAACCTGACGAGGAAGAGCGGGGGAAGAAGGGGGAAGCGGGCGAGTTGATTTTTTAGTCGACTAAAAAATATTTCATGGAAGAAGGGGGAAACGGGCGAGTTGATTTTTTAGTCGACTAAAAAATCTTTCATGGAAGAAGGGGGAAACGGGCGAGTTGATTTTTTAGTCGACTAAAAAATCTTTCATGGAAGAAGGGGGAAACCGGCGAGTTTCTCCCCAGGAGGTCGAGCCCTTGGCGGGCGGTTGTCTTGTCAGCGAGCTGCGAAGGTGCTGCTATTGGGGTGGTGAGGATGATACCGTCTGAGTTGTGCATGGCGAAACTGGCGGGGGGGGGGGGGGGAGAGAGGAAGAGGGAGAGAGAGTGGAGGAGAGGGAGGGGGGGGAATAGAGCAGCGAAGTGCTGTCGTCACCCACACCACACGCCCGTGTTCCCCAGAGGTGCCGGTTGTCTGTGAATGGGATGTTGGTGGTGATGATGACACCGTCCGAATTCTGCACAAACATGCTGGTGGTGCGGTGGTGGACGGGGGGCATAAGGTGGTGCGGGGAGGAGGGGGATCGGGGGGATAAGGTGCCGCCCGGCCAGCAGGTTGAGGCCATGTTGGCTCTCTGCCAACATGCTGTTCGTGATGATGCTGTTTCAATCGTGCATGACGAGAGGAGGGATGAAGAAGCCAAGAGAGCCACCACGGCTTGCAGGTTTCATCCTGTTCTCCAGTGGCCCCCACCCACCAGTTCTGGCCGTTAAAGCCCGGGGCCCCAGCCAAGAAGGCACACCCCCTGCAACGCCTGTACAGAGCCTATAGGGTCACAGCGTGGTTGTGTATGCGCTTACTGGCCACCCACCCATCAGTGCCCCCCACCCATCAGAGCCCCCCACCCATCAGAGCCCCCACCCACCCATCAGCGTTCTTTTGGAAATTTCCAATCAAGGCTAGGTGGCACTCACCCGTCTCCAGCTTGCTTGTAGAGCAGCAGCCCACTGATGGTCCCCGTGGAAGGCTTCCACTGCCACTGCACAATGGTGAATGGGTTTTGGTGAGTGGGAGGGGCGTGTGAGGGAGCACGCACATACATGCACTTATCACTTGAGCATGCACGCACAGACCAGTCCGTCCCCAGCTGGCTTGCAGAGAAGCAATCTGCTGATGGTCCCCGCGCGCTGCCACTGCGATGGATGAGTGGGGCAAGCAAGAGGAGAAAGGAGAATCCTCCGGCCCGGGCTGTTAGGACTCACCTTTGTGCGTGTCCATATGCCTTGTCTGTACTCCTTCTATGTAATACAAAGGACCAATTAGCGACCACGTCTACCTGGGCCTCACCCCCTTGGAGTGGGTCCTCCACCCTGGTCCCCTGTTGTTGTGGGGCCCCTCCTCTCTCTCTCTCTCGCTCCCATTCCTTCCCTACCTGAGAAAGTGGCGAGTCCAGAGACCACGTCTGCCTGGGCCGGACCCCCTTGGGGTACGTGCGCCACCCCGGTCCCCTGTTGCTGTGGGCCACGTTGTCGCGGTAGATGCCAAACGGGCCCGTTGGCCGGTACAGTGGCATTCAACCCAGGGTAGCTGAGAGTGAACCCGCGCACCCTATCCCTCAGCTCCATCCAGTAGCTGATTTGCGGGGAGGAGAGGGGAGGAGAAGGGGGGCGGAGGGAGGGAAAGGGTCACGGAGAGAGTTAGAGCGCAAACGGGCAGCTTGAGGAGGGAGACGCCAACGGGCCTGTTGGCTGGCACAGAGGCCTTCAGCCCGGTGTAGCTGAGAGAGGGTGGCCGCGCACCCTGTCCCTCAGCTCCATCCAGAAGCTGATTAGGAGGGAGGGGGAGCAGGGGCGATGGACGAAGGGGGGTGGAGGGGGGAACTATGGGATACGGAGCAAGGGAATGAGGGAGTGCAACGGTAGATGCCAAAGGGAGCCACTGGCCATGCGGGATCAATTAAATCCAGTGTGGGTAATTCACCCTGAGCCCGTGGCACTGAATTGCCTCGATGCTTCAAGTAACGACCCAAACAGATCTTTGAGGCGCCTCAAAAGCTGAATTGCCTCGATGCTTCAAGTAACGACCCAAACAGATTTTTGAGGCGCCTCAAAAGCTGAATTGCCTCGATGCTTCAAGTAACGACCCAAACA